CAAATTAAAAATTTGTCATGCTTTAATATAAAGATCTGTGTATGGAAAGGTACAGATTATTTGAAATTTATAATCAAGTTGTATGTTTTCATATAAAGAGCTTTTGATATATTTAATGACTTATTCTGAGCAGAAATGTATAATGATTTCATATGAACATGTTTAATCAATAAAACATAATCTGAATTTCTCATTATACTTCCTCATGTATATGTTGATCTATACATCCACTCCCCCATATGCCTTCATGGTGTAGTGCTTAATTTGTTGAGCACAGGGACAACTTAACTCTTACCTTTACCTTCCTCATGTATATAATCTGCCCTGCAGTCACACATAAAGAGTGACAAAATAATGGCTCTCCAAACACATTATAATGCACAAAATTACATTTTCAACACCTTAACTTCATCTTTTTCTAATCTGAGTGGCAGTCTGTATGCTTTCCAAAATAACAACATAATGTAACAGTAAGGAGTCAGGTTACTTGTAGCTCAGTTGGTATAGCTACATGCTGGACAGCAAGGGTTCGATTCCCAACATAGGCAATATTTTTCTTTTCTCCATACCATTCAGACTAGTTCTGGGGCCCACCCAGTCTCACCAGGCGCTCTTTCTCTGGGGGTAAAGTGGCCAGAGCATGAAACTGACAACTTACCTCTATGTAGTGCAGAGGTCAAGAATGGTGGACCTATGCCTTCACCACCTCATACGTCTTCATGGCATAATGATTACTTAAATAAGCACCGGGGCAACTTTACCTTTTAATGTAATAGACAGTTTGCATTGTCTCCAAACTTGTGAGTTATGTATAAACCATTCATGCTCCTTCACAGTATTTATTGACTGCAGGAAGAGATTATGTTTTTAAGGACAAAAGATAAAGGACAGTGCCTTTACATAACATTAGTTGAATATACCATGTGTGTCAGGAGACTCGTTATATTACTGTTCACGTTTGTTGAGAGTGCTTAGTATCATTGTATTTAATCCTCACATGTTGTGAATTTAAAAGAATATGATATGCGAGGTTCTCATAGTGATGAGTATTAAGATTATTATGTTCTGGAATGTGATACCATAAGGTTGATACGTACCAACATTTTGACGAACATCTATACCTATCTACCATAATACATAGCATCACATCCCAAAAGACATAATCTTAGTTAAAAGGAAATATGTTACTGTCCTACAAACAGAATTAAAGTTTTCAGCACTTTCTTAGTTGCTTCCTTTCAGGTAGTCTGACATTAAAAAAGAAAAAAGGAACTTATGTAAATAAATATATTTTATGACATTCCCAGAAATTAGCATATAAGGCAACTCTTAATAGAGGTATGTGGACATCTGAAAATGTATGGTCTGGGAATGTTGAATTCTTAATTCTTTTCTTGTTGAGACTGTGGTCTTGGGCTGAAAGTATGTAGGAATGGAAGTACTGCCAGAGTGTCCAGTTAGAAGTTTTAATGTGTTGTATACTCAACTGATAACATGATATCATATAATTGTAAATATAATATCTGTAAACAGAGCTAAACTATAAACAAAGTGCAGTAGCATAGTATTAAAATGGATGTTTAAGAAATGTTGAATGGATTGAAATGTCTTAGGATAGAGTCCAATGTCAGAATATGACACTAGCATTGCTGAACACTTGGGCGCTATTATCAGAGATAGTTTGTAAATTTTGTTTCATTACTTCTTCTAATTAACCCCAGAGCATTTTTATTAATTTATCGTAATAAAGGATATGTATACCATTTTAAGAGTCAATAGAGACTGAAAAAATGTTTGCATCTATTTGCATTGCACATGTCTCCTACCGTCTCGTCCCTCATTCCACTCCAGTTGTCTGAAGATTTTCCAAAGAAATTCAGCCCATTCTTTTTTTTTTCCGGGTGTGCTGGAGACTGCTATCTTAACACAAAATATAAGGTTGTTACTGAAATTCATTTTAATTGTTGAATAAACTTTATAAACCAGAATACTCTTCAAAAATTCTTTTTATATAATGTTTATGGCATTAACAGACTGACACTTGGAGGAAGAGGTATAGGATTTAAGTGTAAGGCCTAACTGTCAGAATCAGAACTTTTATCTCACCTGTAATGGATATTCCTGTCTTCTCTACCTTTGCCTTGTGTAAGATGATACAATGTAAAGGCCAAAATTCAACAGTATACAGACACACAATTTATATGTCTAAAGCATGGCCATATTTTGACAGAAAGGGGAAACTAGACATTGTATATTTATGTCCCTCTCCAGCCATCTACTTAAATGTTTGTAACATGCAAAAAAAATGCAAGGTTGGTAACTGAAAGTTTTCATGATGGAGAGATCAAAACACAAGTCACCAAAATTAGTTTGAAAACCTTAATATTAATGTCAGTTTTTTGGTCCATTAACCTTTAACTGTCCTATATAGGATTCGCAGAATGTGTACCCAAACTAGAGGGATGAAATTTGAAAACAAAATCTAGAATATCCAAAATGCATAATGTAGATACATTCAAGTGTACCCAAACTAGAGGGATGAAATTTGAAAACAAAATCTAGAATATCCAAAATGCATAATGTAGATACATTCAAACATATTTGCTGTGTTCACTAAACTTCTTGTTCATCCTGTCAGGTGTTAGGTCTTGAATCCTGTTATTATGGGCTTAGGTTGTCCCTTTGAACATCCTGTTGACCTTTTGCCCTTGGGTCAGAATCTCACTTATTGACGGAATGTGCAGAAATACCACCTATTCTGTTTTATATGTTGAAATGTTCACTAATTTTATCCAGTGTGTAGAGAGCAACAAGGAGCAGCATGATAGTTGATGGCCCATATTTCTAGAAACTGATCCAAACACTGTAACATTACAATCAAAATACGAGGGTAAGTCAATAAGTAACTTACAAATGGATATAGAACTTAAACACATAAGAGTACCGATTTGAAAAATGCTTTTATTTCTCAACATACTCTACCTGTACATTGAGGCATTTGTCCCATCATTTCCCAACCCCCTGAAAACCAGCAGCATACATATTATATATATTATACATATTATCGCTTCTCCTATTTGTTGTTTACAACAAAGATAAATTCAAATTAAATTCTGATGTCTATAACATGAATACTAGACAAAAATATAACTTCCACCTACCCTCATCAACTTTATCAGTATATCAAAAAGGAGTCTACTTTACTGGCATAAAAGTGTTCAACAATCTGCCACAAAGTATTAAAGACTTGGGCAATGATACTAAAAAGTTTAAATCAGAGTTAAAGAATTATCTACATGCTCATTCCTTCTACTCTTTAGATGAATACTTCAATGTAAATAGAGAATGATGTAAAATTAAGTTATATTAATTTTTAAGCTAAAATTGCCTGTACTTATGTATGTAACCTTTTGACTTGTTCTGTATCCAAAGGTACTAACCTGCTTAGGATTTATAGAATGTAAATAAATTCAATTCAATTCAATTCAAATAAAATTCTTTGGGCTGCTGTTGGAACCAGGTGTGTTTACACGGCATGGCCTACCTCATAATGCATGACAGGTTAGGTTTTCACAAAATCTGTGCATGATGGGTCCCCACAACACAAAATGCAAAGAATGGGTCTGGCATTACAGCATCTCAATTGCTACCAAGATGAAGGACACGATATGCTAGCCCGAATTGTCACAGGTGATGAGTCTTGGGTTCACCGTTACCAGCCTGATACAAAGTGTGCATCAGTACAGAGGAAACATCTGCATCGCCTTGAGGCTGGAATGTGGTGAGCAGTATGCCTTCATGATCCCAGAAGACTGAGAGCATCACTTTCCTGGAGGACGGTGTCACCTTAAACTTTTTTTTTTTGGCAGGTGATGCAGGATGTTTCCACTGCATTGACGCACGCTTTGTCTTGGGCTGGTAATGGTGAATCCAAGACTCATCACCTGTGACAGTTCGGGCTAGCATATCATGTCCTTCATCGTGATAGCAATTGAGATGCTGTAATGCCAGACTCATTCTTTGCATTTTGTGTTGTGGGGTCAGCATGTGTGGCACCCATTGTGCACAGATTTTGTGAAAACCTAACCTGTCATGTGAACACACCTGGTTCTGACAGCAGCCCAAAAAATTTTATGCTGCTGTTTTTCAGGGGTTTGTGAAACAATGGGACAAATGCCTCATTGTACAGGGAGAGTAGCTTGAGAAATAAAAGCATTTTTCAAATCAGTACTCTTATTTGTTTAAGTTCTATATCCATTTGTAACTTACTTACTGACTTACCTACATACTTCACAGTTATTTTGTTGTTATATTTCTCACAGTGATTATGGAGGAGAGACAATGTAAATTAAAAATCACCAATTCCAATAGTGTTTCAATTCATTATGACTTAACAATGTCTGATTATCCTAACACAAATTAATGTTGACTTCTAAGAGGTCCTATTTATGGCATAGGCTTTTAATACTTTGCTGCATCTAAAATGGTAGAACATAGCAAATTAGATGTTCCTAATACCCTTTGATTACAGAAACCCAATGTATAAATGCAGTCAAATGAACTGATCAGAGATTCTCAGATACTGCTAATTTTAATAGTATGGCAGAAAATTGAACAGATTAGTATGTCACTCTAATTAACTAATATGATCAAACAGAGTCCTTCTTGAGCAGCCAGCTACTCAAGAATTCCCATAAATTTTATGGGATGTAACTTTATTACGGCTATGCTACAAGCCGGAAGGTCGCAGGTTCAAGTCCCGATGAGGTCATTGGAGTTTTTTCAGTTGACCTAATCCTTCCAGCCACACTAGGCCCTGGGGTTTACTCAGCCTCTAACAGAAATGAGTACCAGGAATTAATTAAATAATTTTCCTGGGGAGTAAAGCGCGGCTGGCACATAAGGCTGACAACCTTACCGCCATCTTTGAGTCGATTTTCTAGATAGTGTGGGACCCTCAGCGACTCACAACCCTGTGGGCCTTCACGGCCTGGTACAGGAAGAGCTTTACTTTTTTACTTTTACTGTTTATTACAGTGTGCATCAGAAAATAGAATCCTATTATCAATTGATACCAGGCAAAGTTCCCTTTTCATTATATTGCTCCAAGTACTTTAAAAAATAGGTTGTCTAAGTGATGATTGTTTATATTCATCATCATTATAGCCAAAACAATGGAATTTCTGTAAATTCCAGTGCTCAAATTGGCAATGTGTACTTGTATCAGCCTACAAGGCATATCATCATTCCTGATATAATTGAAAATATGCAGTTTCTTATTTGGATAGAATTATAGTAGACAAAGTGAGAATAAAATTTTAAAATATATGAATATTTGTGTGTATATGTCATGTTAATATCTCCATTTCGAGCACTCATTAGCACTACATAGTTATTATATTCAGAGTAATCATATATGTAATTTTACCATTAATAGTTATTAATATATGTATAATGCAATGCAGTCTAGGAATTTCTGATAAAGGAGATGTAATCATTTTATTTTAATTGTAAAATGTTTCCACTAATTCAAATAAGTTCATTAATTATTTTAAGGTATTTGAAATATGACATTCTATTCCTATTCTTATACTGTAACACTATCACCTTCTAAATCTTGTATTTTATTATTAATTGTGTGTTAGCAGTTCAGTTGGTGTGTGGTAGATTGGAATGACTAAGGAGCTTGTGAATAGTGAATTATTTGTAGAAGGTGCTGAATAAGGAAGTTATAGCAATATAGAAGACAGTGGACATTGTCTATAGTGGAAGACAGTGAGCCTTGCTTACAGCATGAATCTGGCAGAAGGCTTAAGAAATGAGGACTGGAAATTTGATGAGACCAGATCCAACATTCCTTGTCAGTATGTGCAACACATTCCAGTCCTTTTGCACTGCTGATTCTTTTGAAATAGTGAGTGCCTACAAATCTGATACATTACCCAGTGCTCAAAGTGTGTACAAGGATGTTATGGACAAATGCATCAAGTTATGAAATAAAGTATTAATGTTAAAACAAGTGGAAGAATATGAATTGTGGCCAGAGCTACACAGCTTGTACTCTTATTTTGCATGTGTGTGTGTGTGTGTGTGTAGGTGACTTCAAATGTGATGACTTCTTCTTTAACTACCAGTATCTTTAACAATAGAAGCGAAAATAGTGCATGAAGAAAATAGAGAACAAGATGATTGTTAGGTGTGAGCTCTGTCCACCGGCACACATGCAATTGAAATGTCACAAATCATAGCTCTGCTGCATCTTGCAAACCACCAAATGTGTCTGTGGGTTGATGCCCTGTTCTGCAGTCGACATGTGCCATCCACAACAAATCTCGGACTGTGGCCTGGTGCATAGAATACACAGCCATCACCACCAGAACATGCATGATGTTATGGGAGTTGAGATACATATCCACCGTGCCTGGGAACCACTTCTCAGGAATGTGCATGGCACCTATGGCACCACCTAGTGCAGACACTGCATCCTATATGAAACATATCAGTGATATTGATTCAACATTTAGTATTGGAGTGAAACTTTCACTGTGGTGCAATTCTATAGCTGCATTAAGTACATCCTGCATCTACAGTTGCAACAGATATCTTGTATTGGGAACAAAACACAGAAAAATACTGGGTATTGTTGGTACTTCCTTCATGACTGTAAGAAATATATTACATTGTTTATCCTTGTTTTAAAAATGATTTTATACAATTAATAATGTTTGCAGCAGAAGTTTTCCTTTCTGATAAGTGAGAATTTTATAGTCTGAAGGACAAACCAAGAATACAGCCAGTTTCTTCAATTTCAGATCTTTAAAAATGAAGATGCCTGGCAGTAACTTTCATATATGGTGTTTCTGCTGCCAGGCATCTTCATTTTTAAAGATCTGAAATTGAAGAAACTGGCTGTATTCTTGGTTTGTCCTTGAAACTATAAAATTCTCACTTATCAGAAAGGAAAACTTCTACTGCAAACATTATCATAATTTTGCATGGCTAGTATAAAATTTACAATGATAGATTTGAAACAGAATAGAGTGATGTAATAGAACTGATTCGTTTTTTTATTTTTGTAGTGGAGGTATCATCCCACAAGAGGACAAAATATACTGGTAAACTAAGAGATTTCAGGCTCTTGCAGCAGTGAAAATTATGATCTTCTTGAGTGTGATGCCATGTAGTTCAGTATTTTCTTACCCTGAAGATGGAGTTATATTCCACTTTATAATAAACAACTCATTGCTCAATGATAGAAATGAATATTTATACTTAAAGAAACGGGGATGTTCCATTAATGACTGTGCCTTCTGTTGACAGAAAATTAATTCTCAGATCACTGAATGCAACAATTCAAACTGATGGATATTTTCAAATACCTCCTGTTAGTTTTAGTAGGTAAAAATACAGATACAGTGTACCACTGTACATTGTCCATGGCTGAGACATAGTACTTTGGACTCCACTACTTTCTGTCTCACCACTCTTGGTGGAAACTTTGAAATCGTATGAGCTTCAGGTCCTCTTTCATTTAATGGAAATTGCCGAGAATTAGTTCTAAAGCTTGGCAACAGTACCAGGACACGTTAAGAAATGTTGGAAATAAATTAGTTGCTATCCACAGACCTTAACATGGCTCACGCTTAACATATATCCAATACAGTTACTATGCGCACCTTACAAACATTAGTATTACAAAACAGAAGCTTCTCATATTCTTAAATGTGTTCATTTGTTTTATTATATTGCATAATATTTTGGAATCATATTAGATCTCATTCTTTCAACGTGTTCTAGCCAGTTCCTTTTATAGTGTAGTACAAAAAGAGTTATTGCTACAATCTCGAATTCTTTCAAAATTCTGTTATTTCTTTTACGGTAAAATGGGGTGTAACATACTATTCCAGAGTAGATAATGAAAAGTTCAGTCCAGTGTGACATACGAGTTTACAACACTTCAGTCCTCATTCGCCTTACATGTTTCAATTCAAAAGAATCATCCTCAGAGGCGCACCACTATGATAAGAAAACACTGTCACATAAGATATTTTATCAATATGCACTTTAGATATGACTGATGCTCTCTATATAAATTTTTTATCACAGTTGGTTTTGATGTTTATCTTAGGCACTCACAATGGCGTTTCTTGAAGTGTAAATTTTCTTATGATGAGTTTCTTTTAGTGTATTTCCTGGTTATTCTGACTGGGGTTTTTCACTGCACGCAATATGGTGTTCACTTTTCCATACAGTAGCCTCCCAATGTATTTAAAATTGTATTAAAATGTCCATGTAAACAATTAGTTATTATATTAAAATATCTTGAGCCGACATTGGGTCATGTTGTTTTCCTCCTGATGGTGGGAGATGTCGTTTATTTCTCTTGATTTTAGGTTCTTATTATTAGTAGTGTAGTTCACGTGCGTGCTGTGTCCCACCATCAGGAGGAAAACAACATGACCCAATGTCGGCTCAAGATATTTTAATATAATAACTAATTGTTTACATGGACATTTTAATACAATTTTAAATACATTGGGAGGCTACTGTATGGAAAAGTGAACACCATATTGCATGCAGTGAAAAACCCCAGTCAGAATAACCAGGAAATACACTAAAAGAAACTCATCATAAGTAAATCTACACTTCAAGAAGCGCCATTGTGAGTGCCTAAGATAAACATCAAAACCAACCGTGATAACAAAATTTATATAGAGAGCATTAGTCATAACTAAAGTGCATATTATTAAAATATCTTATGTGACAGTGTTTCCTTATCATAGTGGTGCGCCTCTGAGGATGATTCTTTTGGATCGAAACATGTAAGGCGAATGAGGACTGAAGTGTTGTAAACTTGTATGTCACACTGGACTGAACGTTTCATTATCTACTCTGTAATTAATAGTGTGACGGACCAAAATGAGACAAGTTATACTATTCCACTTCATGAAGCTCAATTCAGCAACATTAATTGACTTAATTATCTTTACATAATTAAAATGTGAGCATATAAACTGACTAAATCCAAGTTACCTTTACCCTTGCATGTGTTAGCATGTTGTATGGTAGTACAGTATTTTATACTCTGACACACAGATACAGTATTGTGAATTCTACTGTGCATTTCACAAATATATTTGGCACACAAATACTAACTGTGGAAATTCTAGGTATTTACATGAAATAGAGGAGGAAATAGGAAATTAAGTGACATGAATACATCGAACAATTACAGGAATATACATAGATAATCATACATGAACTATTCTGTATTTCATACATACTCTATGTACAAGGGTTGGAACTTTAATAGTGGCAACACTGCTGTAGAGACGCCATGTAACAGAACAGAATAATGTTGCTTATACCACACGTTAGTTACATACCTACCTTTCCTCAGAGCAAATAGACTCTCCCTTCCCACATCACGCGCATGTGTAGTGACGAGAAGAACAGAGCCTCGGTTAGCTGGCGGTCTAATGTAGTGTTGTCACGATGTTTTTGAAACAGGAACAACGGAGTTGGATAAATATTGAATGTGCCAGAGGCTGTAGAGCACGACAGTGTCATCAAGGTCTTCAAGAGGCTTGTGGGGAATCTGCATTGCCTTACAGAACAGTGGCAAAGTGGGTAAAAGCCTTAAACGAGGGACGCCAAAATGTGGCAGACATGCGTCGGCCAGGTTGTCCTACTGTCAGTGAAGAAGTGTATGCTCTTTCCGCGTTACTGGAGAGTGATCGACGCCATACGATTCGTGAGCTGGCCCAAGAGGCAGGATTAGTGCATACGACTGTGCTTCACATTCTGAAGGAACGCCTGGGCATGAGAAAAATTGCATCACGATGGGTTCCGCATGATTTGACGGAAATGCAGAAATGGCAAGCTGTGGCTGATTTGTTCAATCGATGGGGCTGGGAAGTGCTTTACCATCCACCATACTCCCCACATATTTTGAAACTTGAGGTACTTCCTTTTGCACCATGTTAATTAGATGCTCTGCAGAAGACAGATGTGATCCAAATACTGAAAGACGTCTATTCAAAGTTAAATGAAGATGTGAAGCAGGAATAATTTCATATTAATTAAAAAAAGAGCTATATCATAGGAAAGCTCTCTTTAACAAATAAGTATTTAAGACATTTTAGATTTGTGACCAAATTTCATGTATCACTTACCATTGGCATGTGACTAATGTAGTGTTTTTATATATCTGTTCACATAGAACTGCCACTCTTAGTTACGAAAAACACTTTACTCATAGTGCAACAGAATAAAATCCCATGCTAATTAAGTATAATATTAAAAGCATAGTGGTATGATATGATATATACTTGACTGGAAACAAATAGTGGTATTTAACTGCAATTTGTTTCAAACCCGGAAACATATATCTGAAACAGATCTTACCTGCAGTATAACATGAACCAATGAGGCAGGGTCACCACCCCCTAAAGGAGAATAACGTAAACCACACAGCAGGACACGCATCACAAAAGGCAAAAGGAAACACAGCCTACGTTCCCATGGTGACCATGCTGTGAGAGCCTGTGACAATAAATATTAATGTTACTATGAAAGCTGCAAGAATGAAACCTACGTTATGCGTAGGTCAAAATGCACTTCGTAAACAATTTACAAGCATAAAAATGTTAAATTCAAATTTATATGTTCAAACACTCTTCAGAAAACTGTAATAGAAAAATACCATTACATATTTGAAAGAAAAAACTGAAAAGCTATTATCGCTAAAGTTGAAATGCAAGACAGCTAATCACTTCTCCACCAAAGTGACACCACTAGCAGCAGCAGCAGCAGTAACAACAACAACAACAAAAATCACAACCACAGTGTCCTTCTCACTTTTCTATACTTTGTACTCTTTCTACGGATCAGCTCACTTCATGGCAGTACAACCTTTAGATATGTTGTGGAGGAAATACACTACCCAACTGGAATGGACACCATTCTATATGCCATGGACAAAATGTCATAAATGAATGTTATGTAAGGCATGAGTGCTGGTGTTGTTTTCATTTCAGTAGTCATCCTACTCATTATCTTTGCTTTCCCACACTGGTGGTCCTGCAGTTGTTGAGATAAAGACAGTTAAGATCAAGTAACTTCATATGAATAAAACTGTTGGACTTTTAGATCTTTTCTAGAAGAGTTTAAAATCATGCTGTTAACAGAACAATTTGTGTATTGAAAATAAATTAGTTGCACAATTTCACCAAGTTGATTCTTCCAGTAATATACAATTATCCGTTGGCTGTTGATGGGGGCACACAGTAGCATAGTTGGTTGAGGTCTATGCTACAAGCTGGAAGGTCACGGGTTTGAATCCCGATGGGGAGATTTTTTCAATTTACCTAATCCTTCCAGCTGCACTATGGCCCTGGGTTCGACTCAGCCTCTAACAGCCAAGAATCTTCCTGCGGGGTAAAGGGCAGCCAGCACATAAGGCTGGCAACTTTACCGCCATCTGTGAGCTGATTGTCTAGATAATGTGGGACCCTCAATGTCTCGCAACCCTATGGGCATCCATGGCCTGTTACAAAGATAGCTGGCTGTTGGTACATATATAAGAAGTTTAATTTGACCTTGATGAAAAGCTTTTTGAAGGGAGGAGAGATGTACACAGTCTAACTATTCACCTGTGCAGGAACAAAACTAAAAGAATAGACCATCTTTCAGGCAAAATAAGTTAAAGTCATTAACTACAATAAAATTGTTTTTTATGTGTTGTTAAAAGTTTGTCATACTTTCCAAATTTGTTACTGTAAAGAAATGTTTTCTTTATAGTAAATTGTGTTTAAATGTTAAACTTCATTAACACTTGTTTATTAAGAACATCATTATATTTGAGAGACTGGTAGACCTAAAAATGAGATGAATCCCCTCATGAATGTCAATAAATATACACATACTTGATGTCCAACCAAATGGAGAAAATCATTAGAAGGAACACTTGAAATTTCACATGTCTTCTTTTGCTTTGGGAAGTTTATTGTCTGTATTAGAATCAAAGCTATTATAACAAAAATAGGACACTAAATGTGAAATAATTAACATTTTCTTATTAGCAAAATATTTCTTTATAAAAAGAATTTTAATTTTTTGTTCAAAACGACTTCAATCATCATTCAAAACTTGAACAAGGTCAGAAACATGCAAATCATACCATAGTAAAAACAGTTTCCACATGCATTCTTTTCATACTCGCATTCCAAATTCTTCCAGCCGTTTTGAGCAACGTTGGTGAAGAAGTATCATTTTGGTTAGCATAGCTATTTTGGTTGTCGTGATTGTATGACTACTGTTGGTTATTGTGGTTCTTATGGTCACTATGATTACTAGACTCTTGAAGTGATGCTAGTGTCACATTAACCCTACGTGTTCTTGTGTCCGCTATATTGATATTACCAGTTGCAGAACTGAGAATTATGAAACTGTGGTGGCCTCCAAAGTATAACATTCTCTCATCAGATTTCACCAAAATCATTCCAGCAGACCTTAAGTTGAAACACACAGACAGACATATATGATTTCCTCTCTATGCAGTCATTTCACACACATCATGCAAATGTCGCACAGAAAACAAGGTAGTTATGCAAGATCCTGTGCCAACTCAGTCAGTTCTTCTAAATCTATATTGTGTTAGCTATAACAGTAGCTGGAAGAAAAGAATATTTCCGTGCAACCATTTAATTGCAACCAAAGCTTTCTTTGTCTAAGGTGCCTGCCTGAAATAATTTTAGTTGGTTCCTTATTACCTTGTAGAGACCCCACATGGAGAGCAGACAATAGGAAGAGAGGATGAGCCATCGGCATACCCAGGACAGGCAGAACACAGAGGCGTACACCATGGGCAGCGCGCCTGCATACAACAGAACAAGCAACACGCACAGTAAGCAAGCAGCCTTCACACAGAACATTCATTAGCTTTGCATAACTGCCCTTGTCACTAGATATGTTTCCAATGGCTCATGGGTGCCCAGGCATAAGGATGTATACACACTGCTACTATTCTGCATGTTGCAGAATTATTCTTGTTACTATATATTGGAACAATTCTAGAATAGAATGATTATCAAGTCAGGCATCAAAGAAATCCTAACTCAGGGTTTCAACCTGAAGAGTGCGAGTAGGACTACATTTTGACTGGGATAAGTGTAACAGTGTGTACAAGTGTGCGCTTGAAAATGAGGGAAGCAGGGAAATGATTCAGGCTAATAAGCCAGCCATTCATAAAACTGTCACTGAGACTCTAACATAGTTTTACATAAATACAACAGCATTGACCTAATAACACATAAAATAAAACAGTGAGATACATCTGATAAGCAACATTATATTTCTCCTAAAAGTCCTAGAAAATATGGGACACAAACTGGGTGTCATCAAATCTTAAATTATAAATTTATAAAAAAATTAACAAATAAGTTCCACCTCTAGTTATTAATTTTCTTTTGGGTTATGTTACTCTTTATGTGGATCTATACATCCACTCCCACATATGCCTTCATGGCATTGTGCTTAATTAGTTAAGCACAGAGAAAACTTTTACTTTTTATGTTACTCTTGTCCAGAATTATTACTGTCATGTTAAATGTAAACACATTTTGCTAGATGTGTTCTATCAGTCTTTAGCACTGTGATGCACTAAGGTTGATATGCTTATATGACTTTGAAACGATAATACACGTAAATTTAGTATTTGTGGGTGTGAAATTGTTAAAAGTATTTATTAAGTTCTCTATACAGATTTTTGTATCCTAACTCTTCAATCTCTGTTTATTGTGAATAATACTGATGCACTTATTTAAATATATCAAGTATCTAATAATTTTATGAACTCATAAAGATATTTAGGATAATTCCTATAGTAAATATCTTTTCATCTTTATATATATATTTTTTTTTTCTGTATTTTGATGACTTTATATACTTATATCAGTAGGGATGCAGTTGAGCCAGGGTGGTGCAGTGCTCCGGTGTTTTTTTAGTGCCAGGTCATCACCTGGCATTATTTTACACACTGACATCAAATACAACTAAATTGTACTTCGGAATTACTGGGTTTTTGGACTTGAAAAAAGTCCCAAACCCCAGTAATTCAGAGTGTTATACACCATCCTCAGAACCCTTTAGAATCCAAATTATACTTCATTTAATTTCCAGCATTTCTTTTTTAAGCTGAAGCATCAGCCTCATTAGGGCTCAGAATTACTGAGTTTCTGGACTTTAGAATCTACTCTTTAAGAATGAATGTTTCATAGATCCTTTGTTTCTCAGTTCTACATTTAAAAGTGTGAAGCTGTCATTACATAACAACAATAGTCCTCATATCATGATTCATGTCCATTTCTTTCTTGTAAGACTACACCTAGTGTATCGGTATTTTTTCAAGAATTGAAAATGAGGAAGGTACTGGTAGAATACTAGAAACATAAAACAATTTTACTAATTTAACTCATAACGTAGTTACTGTAGCCCTCTGTAGAACATTATATTCGAAACACCTTCATGTACATTTCTAAGCTTGCAAAAAACATCCAGCTTTTACCTCTGATGAATTCCCTTGGAACAAGATCTTCAGGTTCTTTAACCAGCATTCTTATTAGTATACCCAGTCAGTTACACAGAAGGTACCTTCCATATTATATTGCCCAATATAACATACTGTATTCAATGAATGAAGGGGCTTGCAGTAGCATAGTTAGTTGTAGTGGAAGGTAGTGGATTCAAATACTGATGAGGTCATTGGATTTTTCAATTTACCTAATCCTTCCAGCCACACTATGGCTCTGTGGCCAACTCAGCCTCTAACAGAAGTGAGTACCAGGAATCTTCCTAAGGAGGTAAAGTGCGGCTGGTGCATAAGGCTGATAACCTCACCACCATCTGTGAGCCTATCGTCTAGAAAATGTGAGATCTTTGACATCTCACATCGCTTTGGGCCTGTTACAGGGATAGCTTTACCTTTTTAACCTTTTATTCATGAATGAAATGAAGAGCTTAAAAATAAATGGATCACTAAGGTGATCCATGATGAGTTAATCAGAACTTCATAATGAACTGTATTGCCCATTCCAAAGCCCAACTGCCTGTTTTCATTGTTAATTATTAATGTCTTAATTGCCATAACAGATATTACTTATCAGTCATGAATAATGGGCACATACCGAAAATACCCATTTCTTTACTTGTGAGTAATTAATTTCAAAAATGGTGGAGTTATACCTTCACTCCAGCCCTGACTTCATGGCATAGTGCTTAATTAATTAAGCACAGGGACAACTCTACCATTTTTCTCTCTATGGCTCTACAGCCTTCTGGAACTTGGCTACTTTTACAGTTTCTTAATCCTATGTACAGTCAAATGATTCCTTGGATGGGGGATCAGCCCATCACAAGGCCACTACCTACACACAGAACAACACAAACACAGAATAAACGCACACAGACATCCATGCTTCAAATGGTATTCAAACCCAAGGCCCTCTGTGTTCGAGCAAGCAAAGACAGTTCATGCCTTAGACCACACAGCCACTGTGATCAGCATTTTACCTTTTACCTTTTTGTTTAGTGTTGCTAGTCAACTGTGCTGCTTTCTTTGCTCATTATGGTAACTCACATCCTTTATGCAATTAAATATATTCATTTATAATGAAATATGTGAGATTTGAGAATCTTCGTTACTATCATACTTCCAAAGATATAATCTATGAAAAAATGCATCTATCTAAAATATGATACTATGTTCTGAGGCAAGACAGTAGTTAGCATTCAGTTACACTCCTGGTTATTCAATAAGTCAATTGCATGACTATTTAGTCTCTTAATGGGGATGAACAACATTAGGAAAATGTGAACAATATTACAAGACTCTATGGACAAAAGAACAAGATATTTATGTCCCAAAACTGAAAGATATAATTTTGTGACATGGTTTACAGAGCATGCAGTATCTAGACGATATAGCATCAAACTGCTGTATGATGGATTAGAAAGGATTTGGGAGGAAGTAGTTGTGGCTCAGTTTAGGTACTATTCTGGAATTTGCCTAGAGGGGCTGAGTATTATTATTATTATTTTTGGAGGGGGTGGGTTTCCCCATGCACCGCGACTAGTAGTCTATTGTACGTCCCCCTTTAATTTCTACTGTCGCCATACCCTACCAGTACTGATGCTCGCTATCAGCCCCATTCTGCCAGCGAGGCCGGCCCTCTTCTGGCACTGGTACCCGATGCTTCCCCATCTACCGGAGGCATTGGAAACTACTTGGGCGGGAAACTTTGTCTAATTTTGCTCAGAGGTCTCCTAGAGACATGAGGATCATTTACGTGCCGTAAATCTACTACATGGGACCCATGGCTTAAAGTGTAACGTTTCTCTTTTATAAAGTATCTTAAGTCTATTCAGTGTCTAGTGGAAATTCGGACACATCTTACATTTATCCTCAACTTTAAAGAATGTGCCGAAAAGGACGTGGTAGCTACGATAGGTATTAGTTAACTAAACAACTAACTACAGTATAATATATTGTCGCGTGAGTGAGGGGATTGGGGGGACCTGTGGACGCATCTCGTTATGAAACGCCGAGACTGACCCCTTCTAGATCGTTCAGGTGACCGCTGAAGGCCACGAGGTAACACAGAACCCACGAGAGACTTCTAGAATGACTGTGGGCATAAAACCATAGTAGGAAGACAAGAAGACATAGTTTCGAATTCGGTTTTAGTCAGTTTGTTAGTTTAAAAACTGAGCTGAGGAGACGTGTGCTACTGGTGAGTGAGAAACAGAGGGTGCTGTGACTCGTAAGTTGAATCTGTGCAAGACAAAAGAACAGGACGGCGCAAAAGCGTACGGTTAAATGCTAGTTGCCAAATAAAGGAAAAGAAACAAGCTGGCATCAAGATCTCAAGTGGCAACTAAGAGTGAGGCCCCAAAACATGATAAACTTTGCAATATATGCTAAGGATCTGACAGATAGTATCTTAAGTTTTGTTATTTACAAATAAAGTTAATAATATATCAAAAGCTGGGCCGTGTTAAGCTTAGGCGTATAGGCATTATGCATAGGGCAAACGAATAAAACTGGACCTACAAAAGAAGCCGACACAACCGAAAGCACTATCGCACGTGATCGCTTCTGCCCCACAACGAGACTCAGCTGGACGCTCGGTCGGTCGGTCGGTCGTCGGTCGGTTAGATGGCTGATGATCCTCGCCAGCACAGTCATTCTTGGCTTTTATATCGTCGAAGTCAGTCTGGAAGCATCTCGCGGGATTTCGGTCGTCTTCGGCTTGCAGCGCGAGCTGGGTGGCTCGCGAAAAAATCTAGAAACTGGCCGTTGGGGGGAGCGAGGATGAAGTCGAAAAGTATCCCGAAAGAGAACCGCGCGCATACACTCCCTCCCCACGCTCGAGTCACGAGACTGTGTGTTATTACAGATTTCATTTCACGGTTTCATAGTATTAGTAGTTAGCGTTAACTTTAAATATATCTAATTTTTTATTGCCAGCTGGACGATCTCTTTATCGGTGAAAGTTGATCGTGAATTTTTGTTTGAACTGTTAAATGACCTCACGTTTTGGGGACATAACAGTGATTACATAAAATAAAATTTGTCACATTTTGTAGCCCCGCTCGCAATCAGATGTGCAGAAAGCAGCATCTTTAAATTTTGTCTTGTTGTTCGTCCGACCAAGGCCGCCTCTCTGGTCTAGTGGTCAGAGTTTCTGGCTACAGAGCCAGAGTTCTTAGATTCGATTCCCGGCGCTACCAGATTTTCTGAGAAGTAGTGGCACTACTGCGCTCCTAAAAATCCAGATGCAGTGTAAACTGTTTGAAATGGCAAGACAGTTTTCAGACCCAAACATACACTCCATGGGACATTGATGAGAAGTGGACCAGACAGAGATGCCCAGCAGACGAAGCAGTGTGTGTACAATATTCCATGTGACTGTGCCAGATGTTATATCAGCGAAACAATCCAACCTTTGGAAGTACGCATCGAGGAACACAAATATAACTTGACCCAAGGCCTGCTTGAAAAATCAAAATTTTCCCAACATTTGTATGAAGAAGGCCACAAAATATTTTGGAAAGAAGCGAAGGACTTGCAGATTGAACTGAACACCACATACAAGAAATACAAGGAATCCGCCCATATGTCTCCACTAGATCATCGATTAGTCAACCCAGCTTGGACATCTCTCCAATCTGGAGTGCCATTATCACAACAGAAGTCAGTAACTACAATTCCGTCCAGTGTAGATTAAGTGTGAAAATTGTGTTTTTATATTGGTGCCATACAGAGAATTTGTCTCTTTAGTGATGGGTTCCATTCTGATATTGCTTTGAGTTTAACAACAATATTCATGAAACAGTGTATGGACATAGGCGCTAGGCCTCCTGTATGTGGAGTTTTTTAATGTTTTTTATACTTTCCTTAAATCTCGCAGATGGTTCGTGCTGTGCTTGATTTTATATGTGCTATCTTGTGTTGGTGCTGGTGTCTGGAGATAGAGACTAGTTTATCGATTGGGGCCAACTGAGTAGGTTCCACCTGAAGACAGACACAGAATCCAGCCTCCAAAATGCTGTATGTTTTAAATAAAAACAGGACAATGGATAATGTCCACAAATATAATAATTGTATTTGAAGAAATCTTGACAATGAAATATCAGTAAGTCTGATGTAAGGTAGTGTGCCAATTGTACACCAGTTGCATGCAGTTCCTTATGTTGCTGTGCTTTGTGGATTAATGAAATCTTCAGATTTTTACTGTGACATTGTACATTAGAATGAACTCATAAATATTCAAATAGACTTCATGGCAATTAAACATGAAAGTAGCTACCACTGAAATTTATTTCCTTTCCATCTATGTAAAATGATAAGGACTTTGCATCCACCTCTGAATGGCCCTTGGTACACTGTACAGATCATGCCACATACATGGTGAGGGGCTGAATATAAATTAACAAGCACAATCAAGTTAATAAGCTGAAGGTAACATCATAAAATTAATTGCCTCTATCTTAATACATGAAAAGAACTAGTGGAATTCAAGCTCTATACAATCACAGTTCTTATTCGCACTGTTCTGAAGAGCAAAATGAAGGACATACAACATAGACAGAACTTTCCAAGGGAAACCTGTCACATTAAAGTATGATACCACATATTTAATATGGGTAATGGTTACACATGGCAATGGTGCAAAACAAAATTTAACATGGAAAAATCTGTGCTTGAGTAATAAATTCTGGTGTTCATAGAGAGTAGAAAATTGAGATGGTCTCTAATGGCATTATGTTCTTGAAAATTTGTCACTTGTGTTGAAAGGTATTAGATGAGGACATATATGCAGACGTGGCTATTCCATAAGCCTGTAAGAAAATGGGCTGGAATTCTAATGTTTCAAAATAGCACAGCTGTTATTACTAGTTGCTAGTTCTTTGATTCTCCATGGCATCATACAAACTATGAAAGGACAGAGAATAATTTGAGACCAAGAAGCACAAAAGTAGGAGATCTGTGTCAGTTCCACATGGATACCTGTGCAAATAAAAAACTGAAGACATTTCAATGATGTACATACAAGTATTTTATTACTTCAGACTACATAGGGCCGTTTTACTCAAAGGAGGCCCCAGATTATTAATTACAGCTCACACAATAGTTACCAACAAAAACGAAACGTGGCAAATACTTACCTCGGTAGATGTGAAGATAAATGGGCTGAAGAAGATGCTGAAATTAATTTTCCTCGTCCTGGAGAAACTGGCACGATGCTCCATTTTCACGAATGTTCCAGCCATTGTGACAGGGAGGACTGCAGCAAATGCAGAAATGGCACGAACCGCGTCGTGAGGCAGCAGTTCAATGATGCAAAGTATGTAATATTGCCAAGTATCGTTTTTATCAGTAAATTATTGCGTGGTTTATAATTATTAATGATCCTTTATACTTTGACATGACAGAATAAAGCAGAGAAGATGGGAAATAATGGTTCTTTATTAGGACACTTATGGCTTTACAGTAAATTTGAAGCATGCGACTTATGAATAATGTAAAACCTTACCAAAGCTCTGGCTGATCCATATTCCGAGCATGTCAAGTTGCAGTAGTTTATAGTAGACAACCTCTCCACGCTCCAAATTCATGAACAAGTGATAAACAAAGCTGCCAATCCATGGACTAACAGCACCAATAATATGGCACCATGGGAGGAAGCGTGATTCAATATGTTCCCATGGCATCAAACCTGGTACAGTTACCAGGATGTACACGATTGGAATGCCTATAAAAGAAAGGTTAAATGTCAGTATTTCAGATTTATTATTACTGTCTGCTTTGAATCTCGCAACACATATATGTTATAACATGCCACATATGCACTCTCCATTCAGGAAAGCGAGACAAGCATCTGTTATTTGATTGAACTGTCATTATTTTCTGCATCCAGATGTGTATCATATATCAGAAGTATACTTAGGGGCTGTCAACATGAAAATTAATTATAACCAGAATACTAAGTATTTTAATATTAGTTTATAATTAGTTGTTGTGTATACCTTTATACTTTATTTAAGTCTGAATAATTTATTTGATGCTTGCTTGGTGGGTATTTTGTTTCAAGAAAAGGACCACAATGAACCAGACACACAATGTGAAAAGAAAATGGATGAGAATTAATAACATTACAAACACCAGCTATTAAAATAACAAAGAAAAATATATGATCGCTAACCAAGAAGGGGGAGATTGGTAAATGGAATATGGGGTAAAGTTGCCTGGTTCTATGATTTTTTGTGTGTTTTATGTAATATATTTCAGAATGAAACTAAAAATAAGGCTTCACTCATAAAGTCTGAACTCTGAACGGCCTATCTATGCAGTTTCCAAGATAATCAACTACTTAATTTAATAAATGATTCCTCAATACTTTTCTACGCGAAGGATTGTCATCTCCGTGGTGAGTTTCCTAATTCCGTAATAGAGGTACCCTAGTGAGTGACCTAATTCTGTGATGCCTTTAGTGAGTAAAAGTAAAAAGCAATCCCTGTAACAGGCCTTGAAGGACCATAGGGTTGTGAGACGTTGAGGGTCCCACATTTTATAGACAATTGGCTCATAGATGGCGATAAGGTTGTCAGCCTTATGCACCAGCCGAACTCTATTCCCCAGGAAGATTATTTAATTAATTAGTGGTACTCATTTCTGTTAGAGGCTGTTTCAACTCCACGGCCACAGTGCAGCTGGAAGGATTAGGTCAATTGAAAAAATCCAGTGACCTCATCGGGACTTGAACCTGTGACCTTCCGGCTTGTAGCATAGCCCCTCAACCAACTACACTACCGCATGCCCCCACCTTTAGTAAGTAGCATGAAATATCTTAAATATGTTTAATTTTATGATGTGTAAGTAATGTATCATTGAGATTGCGATATTTGATAAAAGATAGGAAACATGTAATGTAGGATGGTTATATTAAATATCAGCATAAACCTAGGATTACAATATGGTGATTTACGAATCTTGATATTTTGAACACACACGAGTATAAATGTCCACTTCAATATCACCATAAAGGTCTTCACACTTGTTATGATACATTGAAGGCAGATGGAAATCTGCATACATTTTGCCCCCAAGCTCCCATTCAAGTTGTGTGCATAATCCCATTTGCATACAGAACAGATAGAAATGTCATCATTATTCTCAATTGTCTTGTAATATTTCCATTCAGATATTTCTAGATTTGGATGGGTCACAGACAGGGTTATGTAGAATGAGTTTGTCTTCTTAATTATTTCACTCCGATCTCTATCAGAAGCAATAGAGAGCTACTCTCTAATGCATAATATCATTCTTTTGTACAGACTGATGCCTGATTTCCTGTAACCAGCTTCTATGGCCTCTTTCTCAGGATTAAACATGTCAGTTGCCCTAGGTTTGTATACTAATCTATGCACCAAACCTGAAAGACCATTCATTAATCCGAAACCTCAGTCCTGCATGCATATCACCTATTTTTCAAGTCTTCGTTGTAAGTCAGAAGAAAAGGCAAGTGGTCTGTCAATATCTCCAGTTTCTTCAGAAGTGTACTGAGCATCAAAATATTGACTTGCCTTAGCAAAGGTTTCTTTGAGTGTCAACCATGTGCTTTATACGAGTACAATTTGGTAGCTCTGTAGAAATTCTAGTCCTCATGTAGAACTTTTCTAGCAGCTACTTCCAGTGTTCTACTGTCATGTGCCATAGAGGAGGCATGCTTAGATGCTGCATCTTTACCAGATTTCTTGTTTTGCTTTCCTATTTCACAGCAGTTTAAAATAATTCAAATAATTTAAAATGATTTTTTTGGTTAAAGTAGTGTCATTTTAGTTGATTTGGTGCCAACATTTTTGGAAAAGTTGAAGAAAACTTACTTACAAGAAAATATTCAAATCGAATATTTGGCTGAAAATAGTCGTACAGAGGCCAGCAACACTGTATAACCCTGACGCCAGAAAACATAACATGGAAGGAATGAAAATAATCAGTGAAACTTGAAAGGCACTACATCTCTGAAGAGTAAGCTTTGAGTCAATTGGGCCGTGCCATAGCTAAAGCGGTTAGTTGCTGGCTTCCCACCGCGGCAGCCCAGGTCTGATCAAGTGGGATTTGTGGTGGACAAAGTGGCACTGGGGTAGGTTTTCTCCGAGTACTTTCGTTTCCCCTGCCAATTTTCATTCCACCAAATTCTCCGTCATCATAATCACCTGGGGCAGGTACAATAGGCCAATCAGTGGCTGCCATGCCAAGTGGACCCAACTGGATTTCACCCCCCACTAATCGAAATAAAAAAAAAAAAGCTTTGAGTCAAGATCCCTACTCATTAAAAAATCTTGGCAAAGTTTTGAAGTAAATTTGAATATCTTTCCCCTCTTAATTTCGGTATTCTGCACTACAGGAACAACACAAATGAGCATGATGAATTCACACACTTCCTCATAAACTCTTCTGCATCTGAGTTTTGTCCAATAAGAACGTATTATGAGGGATCATGTTCAAACAGTACATTTTGAACCATCTTCTGAATGTTGAGTCAACTTTCTTACGTGATTCATAACTGAGCTACAACACTCTGAAAGCTGTATCACCGAATTATGGGCATCACGGAAATAGCCAATTTTACCCTGCATGATGGGATACTTAATGCAGGAACCTTGTGTCACAGATTAACCAAACAAGTGAATTAAAAGAAAGCTAAATTATTCTGTACCCAGCGAGATGCTGCAATAGAAGTAAAGCCCCCAAACTTAGATCGAGGATGTGACAGTGTGTTGCCTGGTCTAGGCTATTGCGCGCCTTAGAAGGTAGTGGTAAATGAGTGTGGAACAATGGTAGAGTGAGGATAGCAGGAGAAAACCAAGGAAACTTGGGAAAAGCCTCCTGCTCCAATGCAACTTCTGTCACGAAGTAACCCAATACTGAACTTCAGGCACCGCGTTGAGAAATCAACACCTAAATGCCTGAGATATGGCCTGAGTCTTACCTTATAATATGTAACTTTAACAGTGATAGCTATGTAAGGCCCAATACCAATAAAGGAAAGGAATAATGACTTTTCATTTTTGGCTAGCCTAATGAAAAATTGGTGTTCCTTTTATTTATCGATATTATGAAGAGAATTTATGGAGCAGGTACACAATGTTTGTGTAGAGGTTTTTGCTACTTTTTAGTATGCTTGTGTCTTCCCCCTGTGTCATACAATTAATGAATGACGTTGAACAAGAAAATGTTAATTAGTAATAATCAAAATGTAAATGTTTAGAAGTCCATTGCATCTGTAATTATTTGCTGAGAAGTATGTCTTCTTTTGAAGCCGGTCACGCTAGCCGAGCGGTCTAAGGCATGCACTGTCTTCGCTCGCTCGGAAGCCGAGATCGTTGGTTCGAATCCCACTCAGGGCATGGATGTTTGTGTGCGTTTTTCTGTGTTTGTCTACAGGTAGAGGCCTTGCGATGAGCTGATCACTCGCCCAAGGAGTCCTACCGAATGTGTAAGATCTAGAAAAACCGAAGTGAACGGAGAAGTTCATGGAGGTAGGCCTAGGCCCAAATGAGGACTGTAGCGCCAAGGACAAAAAAAGTCTTCTTTTGAAGATCAATGAACACGGTGGAAAAAAAAGGGGGGGGAAAAGACACATGAACAATGGTGAAAAGAGTTTTCTGGATGTGTCACAGGAAAGCAGGAGTTTGGTATTTGCTTCAAAAACTTAAAAAATTCTTACTGTCTGAATCTGACAGCGGAATAAATTAACATTCTTTGTTAGTTTCACAGAGTATGAGATGCAAATATCAGACTTGTACAAGTATTTGGGAGGTGTCTGGTTCGAATCTCAAATAGTTAATGTCTATCATGATTGAATTTCTCATGGCTTTGGTCAGTCTTCTCATGTGAATGCTGCAAACATACCTTGAATGAGGTCACGACTGCCTATTTATAAATCCTTACCTACCCACCGTTCATGACAAATTTCTTATTTTATTCGATCATATATAACCTCTGAAATTGAAAGACTGCGCCATTGAATAACGTAAGATGCACTCACTTACTTGAAAGATTACGAAGTCAGAAATTGGAAGCACTTTAGCAGAGAGATTTTACATGCTTACCTACTTACTCATCTTCATTGTCATCATTATCATCATCGACTCCTTGGATTAAACTCAGAATTTCTTTGTTGTGTAAGTGCAATTGATTTACTCCATCTTCAATTCCCCATTACTCTTGCTGCAAATAGTACATAATATCCTAATATACTTCTCCTTTGCCTTTTTTAATATCTTTTATCTACTAATAAAATTGAAATGGCAACATTGAGTTTCTCAAATCAAATTATGATTACGTAATTTGTTCAGATGTACGGCATGAAATAGCAGCCATCCAGCTGAACTTTCAGCCTCATTTCTATATTTCGCATGAAAAGATGCCTTCATTTTTTATGGATATAATTGCTGTTAGACGCCACCCAATTTTTGTGATCGTGTGAACTTCAGAGATGGGAGCGACATTAGCGTCACGTATTTAGGGTCCTAAAACGTTGTCTAGTAATAGATCTTCGGAAATTATGCAACTTCTGTCAAATTCTTTTTTTAGAGGTTGTAAAATAATAACATGAAGACCGCCTCAATCTCTGTTTAGGTCTCCATTTGATATAACCCGAACAAAAATTATAAATTTTGTATGGATGTATGTAATGTAAAAGCATATAAATTCTGCGTGGTATATTCATATATGCTGGCAGTTGTA